AAGGTAGAAATTCATAACACGTATTCATTTTATGGTAAGCAATGGTTTTGCAGAAAATAAGCCCAATGGATGGCGCTGCAGCCGAAATGTATAGAAACCCCGTGTGGTTGGTCTGCTTTGGACCTATGTTTAAGTTATACGAATTTAGTTTTCAGATGTTTAAATGAAGCATGGGGTTAAGTTTTTCTGACGCCCTCATGCACGATCATGCGGTCTTGCATCTACCCTGAAATCAGTTCATAAATTTTACCACGAATTGTAAAAGTGGTGAATTAACAAGGAAAGATCACCGTAGGTATATCAACTGCTTCATTTGAAAGATACTTAAGAGATCACACTACTCATTTAGCAATGTACCGGAAAACTTTTCATCCTATGGGACAGCGAGGATTCTTGGCCTTCCTATAAAGAAAATGCACTTCTGTGCCCTTGAGTTTAGCTATAAGAACTTTTATTGGCATACGTAAGATCATACAAAAAGATTAGGCATGATTGGCAGAGATCTCACAGGTGAAAATAAGACCATCAGTAAAGCTCATGACACCAAAAGGGATTGGTAATCCATATGGTATCACAGCGTTACTACTATTTGCCTATGTGTGAGGAGGATGCTGCGCCTTAGTGGTTTCAACTTAAATCAAAAACTTTGACTTTACAGACAAATTTTGTTTTTAAACGCTCTTTTGCATTGGCTAACGCAAAAGCTCTTATTAGGCGCCGCGAAGTAAGCGGGCATTGGCTAGTAAAAAATAAAATGATTTCAGAATATTGCTGGCCACTTCCTTGAAAAACTGATGATGCTGAAAAAAACGGCCAAGAAAACATTTTTGAGTAGTATAGTCAAAAATAGTATTTTTGGAAAAATTTTGTTTTCATAAAAAGTTTAATAAACCGGTAAACTTTTGTTCGGTTTTTGATAATGAATACTAGTTTTTTTTTGTTATTAAATTTAGTTTTACAATCAGTTAAGGACTAGTATGGTTTTCTTATAAAATAGTGCGTAAAAACCTCACCAAAATTGAAAAATGGTGATCTTTTAAGGTTTCTTTCTCCACATATATATCGTTCAAAAGACTCAAGCTTCGTCTTTTTACTGAAACTCGGTTCATAATCAACTAAGATACAGACTTATAGGTTCGCAAAAGTTCGAAAACCCCGTTTTTAACGGCAATTAAAGATTTTGGGGGTGTTTGGCAAGTTTTACAATTCGATTCTGGTTTTACTCAAAAAGACCTATCAGAAAATATACATAACTTCTCAGTTATTTTTGCTCTAAGGCTGTAGGCGTTGATTTGAGGACCAGGTGTTTTAACACGGTCAACTATATGTATCGACCCTTATTTGCGATCTTATCGTAAGCGACAAAAGGTAAATTTTACAGGAGAGTTTTTTTTTTTGATTCTCCCTTAAACAGTGTAAACATTTATTTGGATTTAAATTAATAATTAACATTATTGAATGCTAGCTTTCTAAAAGGACTATTTATTTTTTACATACCTTATTTTCTAAGGGTAAAATGGCGTTGACGATATTTTTCTAGAACATGCTGAGATGAAAGTTATTAAAAATTGGTGCTTGAGATAGTTTTCATGTTGTATAATCTGGGAATTTATAAACGAAGGAGTGCGGGTTCTTTACGCCCGAAAAAATCGCCATTTCAGCCAAAAAAAAAATTCCAATTCTTTTTATTATACTTTTTTAACCGACTTAAAAAAAGGAGGAGGTTATCAATTCGTAGGAATACTTTTTGTTTGTATATTACGGCATGACTTTTGACCACGTTAACCGATTTATATAATTCTTTTAAATAGGTATTGGAAAGTTGGTACCCCAGAGGTGGTCCCATACTAATTTGGCTTAAATCCGATCATTGGATCGTGAAGATATTAACGGTACTTTTACGGTTTTGTTTTTTGTTTAAAAATTACTTGTTACATTATACAAAACTACATACGATAAATATGACTTAACATATTACCAAACAAAAAAAACCCACACTGCATATGGCAAACATTTTTCTCTTTAACGTTACAGTCGCACGTATATTTCTGTTTATATTTCCGAAACGTTGTCTAAAATCCGAAAGCTTTTTCATTTATCCTGATAATAAAGCCAAAAAGCTACATTTTTTATACAAATACTTGTTTCCGATCTTTTGTCGTTTTAAAGATAAGTGTGGTTTTAAGTGGTCTTTAACGTTACATTTTTTGGAGGTAAGTTATATATAAGGTCACACGTAAGGAAAGTTTGGCGAATTCTGCGAAGTAAAAAAATTAACTAAAGTACTTTAATAAAGACCAAGGTTCAAAGAAACTATAAAAAATATTAACATTTGGATAATACATCCATAAACTAAAATATGCAGTCTTTAACGTTACTTACCATACTTGACTATATTTTTCAATTTGATCGCATACGAGGCACAAGTGAAGTGAACGCTCACCGCATATATTGTATGTCAATCGGCTCTTGTTTCAGGATGCCTATCAAAAAAATATACCAAGAGTTGACGGGTGAGCCAAAGAAAATTATTTTTTCACTCGTTCCCAAAATTTTGACCATATGTGTTAATAAAAGTTGATTTGTAATTTCATTGTATTTAACAACAATTTAAAATTAGGATTTAATGAAACGCAACTGATTTTAAATTGTTGAGTTCGACTATTTTGAAGCTTTTTAAAAGAGTTTGATCCAGTGTTGAAGAGTAGCAGCAAAAAATTTCCTCTGCTATATTTCTGTCTCTTTAAATGAGTGGCGGCAGTGCAAATTTACAAGATTGGTTACAAGTCTAGTACAAATTTAATATACATATGTACCTAAAAGGACGTTCGTAGAACAAAACTAAATAAATACATGATTGTATGTTTTTTGGATTACATCTTCCTTTAACAGATTTTGTACATACATACATATGTATGCATTTAAGTGGAAAAACTTGAATTAAACTCGTCATTTTGGGAGAAAAATCCTCAAATCGTCATTGGGCTAAAATAACGTCAAAATGACGCAGAAATCGTCAATTCGGCAACGCTATCCACAAGTTTTTTTTTCAGATGCAGTGTTAAAACTCATTACATTCCCTAAGAATCAGCTAAAACGACCTTACTTGCGCTACTATTTGGTATTTGTTGACGTTTTTTTTTAAAGAATGAGAAAAAGTAAAATTTAATCCTTGACCAGGATAGCTACAGTGCCAAAATCTTCATATTAGGAAGATTTTTGGCAGTTTCGAAATCAGTCGTTATATTTCTCGACTCGTCTTATGTTTTAAACCTACATTTAGGTCTCTTTTTATGCGGAGCATGCGTCCCTCTGAAAGCCGCATAAAAAAAAATCCACATAAAAAAGTTCTTTACTTTCATACAAAAACAGGGGATGCGTTCCAGCATTTTCAAAAACCGCATAAATTCAGATACTCCATGTAAAAAACTCTGAAAAACCGCATAAAAAAATCTAGTGAGGCGTTATTAAGCAAAAAAAAACTATTTATTTATTCACTTCAACACTTATTATTCCATGTAAAACTGAACGTTAATGAAATAAATAAAATTTAATTAACCAAAAAAAAAAAAATAAAAATACAACAATAAATACGTGAATTATGTAAGAGTATAAAGACGAATTATTTATCAGAAGCATTGCTCTTACACACTGAATAAAAACTCTCAAAAAAGCAAAATTGCTACTGCGAAAAATTAGTTTGAACGCCCGCATAAATCCAAATCCGCATAAAAAAGACCTAAGTGTAGTTACTTAATAAAAATAGATACCAAAACCAGAGTTGCCACCCGTCCGGTTTTCGCGCGGACAGCGCGGCTTTTTAGGGCTTTGTCACTGCTGACAGTTGTATAACCTTGCGCTTACTCAAGACAAGACAATTGAGAATAATAATTTGTATGAATTGTCACGTCTTTTAAGTAAAGTAGGCGTCCAGACAATAAACTGTCTTCGATGTCTTCGAAAAGCCAATAAGATAACTGTGTATATATTAGTAAAAAAGTGTGAATGTATTGCTAATGTATCTGCAAAAATTGACTTGTGTAAACCCCAAGTACGTGGTCATAAAGAAAAGCTGATTTTTGTTTGCAAATGCAACACCTTCAGTGTGGCGTATCTATACGTTACGTACGCCACTTCCATCGCATACTTTTCCGTTATTGACGTACAAGTACCCATTCTGACGGGCCTATTAGCTTTCGTACGTCTAATTAAATGAATAAAATAATTTTTCTCATTGTCTCTCAACGATTATTAGAGGAAGACTAAAATCTCGCCAAGTAAAACTATTACCTAATACCCTCGATGGCAACCCTGTGGGCAAAATCTCTAGTTCTGAACTGGTGCGCTTGTGGTACATTTAGACCCAGTACTGGTTCGCAATAAATCTCTTTTGCATGCAAGCAACTGACGAATTTAACATGGCGATGTCCTAGGAAGTGTCAATTGCCCCCCGCTGCATCCCTTTTTCGATAGTTCCGAACTAGTCCTAAATTCTATAGTTCCGAACCAGTTCCAAAATCGACAGACGAAAGAAATGTGTATAATGATTTTTCAATCTTTTTGGTTCTTCCGTGTGTGCGATTTTAAGTTATTTTGGAAGAAATGTGTTTTCGATTTGAAATTAAATTTGGTTGAATGATTGTAAGAAATGTACGTTTACATACCTTTAGCTGTAGCTGAGTTTGCAGAGGTGCCGCTGTTAAATTCCAGACGGTCCCAAGATGTTGAAATGATAACACAAATTTTGGTTTTGTATTACCAAGCTTTAAAAAAGCATCTGCGAAGTGCAGAATAGAAGTGTATTCGAACGAAAAAGCTGCCGACACATATCTATGTAAAGTAAATAAGCCCCCGCTGCATCCCTTATACGATAGTTCCGAAATAGTTCTAAATTCGACAAATAGGACCTAGTTCGTTCTGCATCCCTTTTCTATAGTTCCCAACCATTTCTAAATTCGTCACTTTAGATATAGATTTCTAGTGAAAAAAACTGAAAAAATTAGTTTCTTAAAGGTACCAATTTTCGCCGATTTTGGACTGGTGGGGATCTAGTTCCTATCGGGCTAGTTCCTTTTTGGCGATAAAGACCTAGTACGGAACAAGAAATTTGATTCATTAGTCCGCGGTTTCCCTGCAGGGAATAATATGCCAGCAGACATCATCAACTACATACATACACATACATAGTACATCGCAGCCGCCAACATCATTAACTATCAACCGACGTCGTCAGCAACACCATTAACCAGCGCATTTTTCCAGTGCCATAATCAGAAAACGGGTTAGTAGCTCACGAAATGAAGACGATCGCCTTTCCAACAAAGAGAAAGAAGAAGGTGAAGAATATAAAAAAAAAATGAAAACTAATAACCCGGCTGTGACTATGCCATAGTTAATACTTCTCTATTGCGGTAAATGAATAAGTGGGCTGGTTCATGGTGTAAACGTACGTATCGACGCTAGGATGGCAAAAGAAAAGGTTTAACATGTTAAGCTCTCACCCCCTAGGATTTAACAAAGCTTAAAAAAAGAATGTCCGTATTTTTTGTTAAAAAAATGGCACTTAGAACTTCCTCAAAGCAACTGAAGTTGACCATGTATTTACACTTTTTCGTAGAAATGGTATAGAATCCTTCGTAATCAATATTTTTCGAACGGAAAAGTGTTCCTCTTCAGGAGACTTCTAATAATAATACCCAATTGTTTATTTTACCATTTTTTATTACAAACGGTTTTTTGTGGTTCCCTCCATTGCTTTTTTTGGGACTTTTGGGGGACCTGTAAATGCTAGTTAGTATTAAAAAATGATTAAATAAATGATTGGGTGCTGTTATTGGAAGTCTCCTTAAGGGAAATAAGTTTTTTCGATTGCAAAATCTTGATTTTCAAGAATTCTATACCTTTTCTACGAGAACGTGTCCATACACGCATATTTTTTTGGACCACCCTAGTCTACGTACATATTGTAAGTTTGTACGTAACTGCTATGATTTTATACAAAGACGTAAGACGAAAAAGTGAAAGGAGCTGCCCAGCGGAGCGGTGGAGTGGCTGTCTGTGGTTGCGGCTTTGGCTATGGCTAATATGGTATGAGATGCTTCAGCTGACTTGTCTTCTTGCTTTTGGTTTTCGCTCGACAGATGCGACGGCCGACACTATGAGCGTGCTTTTATACGTATGTGCAAATATTTATATGGACAAATTTATATACACGAGTATCTATATAGTGACGATGGTTTATTATCGCTGATATTGCGCTGTGATGAGACGCTGGGTAAATATAAAATATTTTATGCCCAAGGAGTCTGCATTGAATGCAGATGCTTCAAAGTTGGTTTATGTGTTGCAACAATGTAGAGGTTTAATTTTATTGTTTAATAGCTCCGTTATGCATACTTTGCACTGCACTGCATAGCATGTAACTTTCACGTAGAAATCAAAAACCAACAGACTTCTACATATGTATCTGTGGGTAACCGCTTACACGCAAAGCTCATTTAACAGATTCCTTATGTGACAACTCTCAAGCAATGCCAAGTATGTATGCATAACTGAGCCATAAGGCACCATAAACTAATTACTCTCGAAATTTGGAAATGCACTTATGTATACTAAATATATAGTGAGTAGATAGATGAGTACATATGTGTATGGCAGCTGAATTTGATGCAAATACATGACGAAACATGTTACATAATTCTGTTGCCACGTCAGATCGTCACACAGTGCCGCCTAACAGGTCTATTCTGCGCTGGTAATAAAAAGTTTGTAACCGGTAATTAAAGTGTCTGTCAATTTTTAAACCCTTTTCGCATTCTGTGTTCTCTTGTAACCGGTAAATTTTGTTACTATCTCATAAGCTGGTAACAAAGTATTACCCCGTGAAATATGCAATGCCAGAATTTGCACAATTCTTCATAGCTGAATTGCTGAATATTTTAACTGCATTACCAACGTTCCTAGAATCGCGGTGACAAGAACTGGTGACATTTTTTGGTAATAAAATTTTCCGGTTACAAACTCTTCGGTAACGTGCAGAATAGACCTATAAGTGGGCAAAAATCGAAAAATTAGTTGTCTGCAATGTGAACGTCTGTGGTATTTTTGTAAAGGTAATTAATCCACTAAAAAGAATTAAATACAAATTTTCCTAAAAAATAATATGCCGCCAGGAAGCCACTAAAGTCGACAAATTTTAATAAGAGCATAGCCATGCGTATGCTCTTCAAGAATGTGTTTTTTATTTCCACATAGATAGTAAAAAGTTAAAGGATTAAAAATTGTTTAATGAAATTAAACTCAGGATGTCCCTGCGGTATTCCAGGAAAACAAGTTTTTAATCAAAATTTCAAAAAATGATAAATTTTAATGGAATGAATAACAAATATATGTAAAAAATGCTATTTTTTATTATTTTATTAAATAATACGGGGTTTTAGCTTTCGAAAGAAGAAATAAGTAATGCGTTTTTTGCTAATGCATAAAATAATTTGTTTAATTTTTTGTCAGTGCCATCAGATCTGCAGGATTAGTTCTATTTTAAAAAACGAAGTGTCAGATTAAAAAACTTGAACTGTAGACAATAGAGGTTTATTTTTTTTTAAGAGTTCCCACCTGTTAAAAAATTACATTCCATTTTAGCACTTTACATTACATTTTTTAATAAGTGAAATGAATTATAAAGAGATGGGTATCAATAGTGTATGATAAGGCTTTATTTCTTAACTTTATTCCTAAACTACATACATGTAGGATAGGGCTGCCATATTTCTGAGCCCGTCGACCAGGACACTCATAATACAAATCGAAAACGAACGTACAAAAAAACCTTATATACCCCAGAACTAATTATATAAAAATGAACGCCTACAAATTATTATTTTGATACATTTATCTTATGTCTTAAATCCGATAATAAAACAATAAATAACTAATCAACACTTACTTCATGTATACTAAAAAAAGCAATTAATAAAAATAAAAAATAAACACCTACTTAAACTTAAATACTTTTCTGAAGATTGCACTTTGCGCAGAACTTCATTCTCTTCTTTTATATAATTATAAAACTCACAGCATGTCATATTAAAATTAAATTTACGTTGAATGAAACTTTCCAGAGTTTCAATCTTGAAAGAGTTTCTTTATTTGGTCAATTGCGCAGATATTAAAAAAAACTCGCTCTACGTTAGCGTTATGACCCGGCATTGTACCATCATTAACAAATTGTTCTTTTTTTCCTTTTCAGAAGTTTTTTTCAAAAAAGAATTTAACCACTTTCCTAATATGTCTTTCTCTTTTATAATTCCTTGATTTTTATTTAAAAATGATTAAGGTATGAAACTTCTTTAAAACATTCATCAGTTATGAATACATTTTTTTCATATAAAAAAGTAATAGTTTTTTGTAAGTCGGTCCATTCAGGAGTATTACGCATTGTCATCCAATTAAAAATCCAATTGAAAATTTCTCAACTGTACCTTGGATTTAAGTCAAGTTCGAATTTTTGCGTAAAAAGAAAGAATCGGAGAATTTTTTTGAAAAATTTTAATTTTTAAAGTTTTTATAATATATGTACATATATTTTTAAGCAAACTTTTTTTCAAAACTCATTTTCTCTTAAAGTATTTGACGAAAGTTGATGAAAGTTGGTATTTTTAAGTTATCTTCAAGTTAAGTTTTTCATCGGAGGTATGTGTTAAAATAATCTGATCAAGTCCATTTTTTTCTGGAGTTCACACGCAACTGTTTGGTTCTACCGCCATCAGTCAGCCATAAGTATGTAAATTTTATGTCTAATAATTTTTTTATTGTGATTGTTCAAGTGTTCAACGTCGCCGTGGTACAGCTCCATACATTTTTTTTTTAAATAGAATGAGTTGGCGTATAACGAAAAATTGGCGAAATCGACTTATTTTTAAGCATACCTCCTATATAAACCTAACCTCAAAAATGTCTTAAAAATGCAAAAAAAAAGTGCACCGATGCATATCGTTGCCTTAATATAGAAAGGCCCTATCTGACATCGTCGCTGATTTACAAAAAGTCGTAACTAACTAAAAATCGAAAATTTCCGTTTTAATTGATTATGATGCATTTGATCGAATTATGTGGCCTCACATCGTTTTATGAAATAAAAGATTTTGGTTAGTTACGGCTTTGTGCATTTCAGCGACGATGTGAGATAGGGCCTTTCTATATTAAGGCAACGATATATAAATCCGAAATTTTGCCCATATGTTTGTAATAATCAGGGAACGGATTTTATGGGCATTGCCTTTTTTCTGCTAAAGAGATATAGTATATTCGATTAAGAATGGCCACGATTTACCTTTCCCTGATTCCATATATACACATCTGAAGTTGCCGTTTTTTGCCTTTTTTAAGATATTCGCCTTTACTAACTTTAATTGTAAAGGGCAAGGAAAAGACCCTTATTCCTAATAATATGAAAGTTTTAAACGTTCCATATTTAAATTGGGCGCCACTTGTATCAACTCACGTCGAGCGCACGTTTAGTATATTTAAGGCTTTTGTTCGCGAACATCTAATAAAAATGCAGCCAGAAAACTTCAAAATGCATCTTGTGGTTCAATGTTACTACAACTATAAGATTAAAGTTTTGCAAGTTAAGAACTCAAATGGAGAAAATAGTCAAATATTCAAACTACAAATTTTTGATATAATGGAACTATGTAGTGCATAGATTTTCTGTTTTTACTTGTAAAATAAATATTTCTAAAATAAATGTATTTTTTGATTATTTTTCGGTTGTTGTCTTTATTTTGCCTTCTAGTGCCTCTTCCTGCCTATTTTCCTTTTTTTGCAGGTTTTTAGGTCCTAAAAATTTATTCCCTTGTAATAATGTTGTGTGTGATCTGCAAAAGAATGGAATTGATGGGATTATTTTAACACATACCTCCGATACAAAACTTAACCTAACAAGTAAGAAAGTCTAAGTTCGGGCGGAGCCGAACATTAAATACCCGGCGCACGTATTAAATATATGTTTCTTCACCTTTCCGAAACCTACCGCTAGATGGTAAGCCGGGGTGTATCAATTTTGAGTAAATTGGCGTCCTTCAATTTGGAAATATNGACAGACAGACATGGCTTAATCGATTTCTTTTTTCATCCTGATCATTTATGTATACATTTGTCTATATCTATCTCGATTCGTTTTGGCTGTTACAAACAACCGTTATGTGAACAAAATTATTATACCCTTGTGCACAAGTGCGCTCGGGTATAAAAATGCCATAAATGCCATCATTATTATATGAGGTTACGTTAAAAGTCGGAAATATGAGCCAGTTGTTAATTGCTCCTGGACGCGCTTTCTAGTGAACACGTTGCGCGCACAGGCGGTCAGCGTGCATGGTTCACGATGCGGCCGCGCTGTGACAAATGTTACTGTAAGTCAAAAACAGAAAAGATCTAAAAAATTTTTTTTTTTACAAATATTTTCTTCAATAAATGCAGTTTTCGAAAATATAAACGAAATGGAGAAAACTCATTGAGAACATATTTTTAATACAACTTGAATATTTATAATGTTTGAATTAAATACAATATTTTTTTTCTAAATTAAAAAAATATATTTTTTCAAATTTTCATCAACTTTCGTCAAATACTTTAAGAGAAAACGAGTTTTGAAAAAAAATTGCCTAAAAATATATTTGCTTTTAAAAACTTTAAAAATTAAAATTTTTCAAAAAAAAATTTAGAATCCCTTTCACATCTATAATCTTCTCTACCCACAAATTTTCACGCAAAAATTCGAACTTGACTGAAATCCGAGGTCCAGTTGAGAAATTTTCACCCAGTTCTAACGAAGTTTACAATAAATATCCTTTTCAAAAACTGAAATTTGTTTTGCATGCAAATTGCATGTTAAACCATTCAAAATGATTTGTGTTTGAATTCCTATGAAATTGTTTATCAATATATCTTTTAAACCACTTAGAGTTTCATTTAAAATTAATTGAACTTTCATTACCGCAATATTTCTTTATTCATTTTTTTATTGTTTTTCAATAAGGAATGCTTAACGGTTTGCAAATGTGAAGTATACTTCTGCTAATGGATTCGAAAAAAAGTCGGTTATTAATTTGGGTGCGCTGTTTTCAATTTCAAAAACTTCTTTGATAGGTGTCTAAAGCTGTAATATACGGTCTATTGCAGGCAGTAATGACAACCAACGACTTCTTGTATGTGAAAGGATAGTGTTAAATGTGATCTGCGATATTTCACAGAACTCTTTTAAACGTTCATTTCTTACCGTGAATATATAAAAATATTTAAAAATCTTCAGGACAGTTGAATCAACGTCAATGGAGAGCACAATACGTCCTTAAACTTGCAAAAAATGTTATTTACGCCATGCCTTTGTCTGAAGGCACTCGTTAGTTCAGCAACATGTATCAAACGCTCAAGTTTTGTATTTTTTTTTAAGAAAAAACAACACATCAGAGACAAAAGTCTGATGCATTAGATAATTTTGATAAATGTTTAGCGCTTTTAACGTGGTCTTGAATGCTTGCCCTACCACCATTGGTAATGCAAATAGCATTTCCACATACCGTACAATGCGCTTCATGATTATTTTTGCCTCTTTTATATACGACCACTCAGCTGTCCGAGAACTTGCACTTTCTTTTTGGCATTTTCTGGAAGAGAGGAAAGTAAGATTTTAAACAAATAGTCCAAAATTAAAGAAGTAAAACTCACTATGTAGATATTTAACTCAAAGTAAATGCGCAAACATAAATATGCAAATCAAATCAGATGTTCAATGTAGGAGCGTTGCTCCCTGTTTAAAAAAAATCAAGCTTAACCTAAATTATGGCATTAGAAAATTAAAATATGTATCCCAATATGGATGCCATATGAAAGAGTTTGTGGTTTGAAAATATTTGGAAGGGGGCTGCCACCTATTTACAAGGTTTAATTCAATTTATGCAATAGGTTTAATGCAATATTTCAGTGTACATAGATATCAATCAAAATTGTTTTGCAGATATTTATTTCTAAACTACATGTAGGAGGGTTGCCATCTATTTCAAAATTAACTCTCTACCTTTAAGATTAGGATCCGTGGCTTCGACACAGCCCGCAGACCAAGACGAAGTCTCTGGAATAATCCTTTTTTTGATCTCATACGTGTTTGGTGTTTGGCCATATAAGTTTATGTATAGATATAGGTACCGGAGAGGTACCTTTCGTCTACTACAATATTATTAATTTGGTGTATCGCAAAGAGCAGCGTTCATACCCTGCAGTAAAATTTAGAGACAGTCGGTTAAAGCGCTAGTTCCGCCCTACAAATTCCAGAACTATCTCTGCGATCCATCCTCCATCTTGGATTTTTGGTAATTTTTTTAGGTTTTTTGCGATTTGCAAGCTTATTTTGCATTTTTCGGGGTTGGTGATTAAGAATCTGAAGTAAGATTGGAAAAGTTCAAAATGACGGATCCAATAGGGAGAAAAAAATTAAATTGATTCGATTTGCTTACAACTTTACAATCAAGGGCTCTTAACCCATTCCTGCCTAATGGGTATTTAAATACCCAAGAAAGTGGTGTCACTAAATAAATTCTAGCTCGGGCTAGGAAAGAGATATCGAAGTTATATTTTTTTTTGATTGAAGAGGAAGAATGGGCCTTAAAAAATAAAATTATGTCAGTATATTGTTTTCGTTAAAAACTTTTTTTTTTAAGCCAAAAATCGAGGTTTTTTTTATCGGAAAATGCTTAGGAAAAGCGCTCCCAAATATAGGGAAATGGGAAAAACGAAAAAAGCTCACCTTACCAGATAGCTTCAGGTGTCCTTCATGTAATGAAAAAAACGCTATAGAGATATCTCAACACACCTGGCCGTTACACCTGGTTAAATGAAAATGGGTATTTAAATACCCGACAGTCCAATGTGGGTACAAAAAATGTCTTTGTTTTCCTATATGGAAACATTTAATTTGCAGTGAATAAAACGCATAATTAAATAGAATTTTTTTTTATTTTACTGAGAAATTATTATATTTATAAGAAATAGATTACTTAGCCTTGGCAATCTTTTTCTTATCTGGTTCAACGCCGTTGTGGTAATCCAGAAAGCAAGGAGCGGGATGCAAGTTCACTTGGCACTTCAAGCAACCATATTCAGTTTTGCCACCGCATTGCGGACAACGATGACGAGTATTAAGTTTTCCGATGAAATGATCCATACGGTCGTAACGCATTGCCAGTTGTGCCCCGGAAGCCGACGTTCTACCCGGATGATGATAACTGGACTTGATCATAATCGATTCACACACCTCCACTCGAAATTCATATTGAGACATCGGTGGCTTCTTGTCATACTTGCGACAGAAGCAATGTAACTTCCATGCATTTACCATAGCCGCGTCAAACGCATTTGTTATTAATGGCCAATACCACTTTTTTCCCCGAATCCGAATTCGATAATTATTCATTGCATTGTCAAAAAGGTCCACACCTCCCATAAGATGATTGTATTCGTTGACCAAATACGGCTGCTCAATAGTAACCATTTTCCGTTGCTTTCGATCATACCGTTTCGCGCGGACCATTGGTGTATGGCTTAGGAAATTCGATAATAAGGTCACGACCTGAAAAGATAAGAATGAATGAAGAACACATCAACGATGGACGTAAAGATCAAAATGAACCGATAGTCAAATTGAAATGTTTCTTTGCACATATAACTTACCGCATTATCATTCCAACGCACCGCCAAAATAGAATTGTTCGTGTCGAAACGAAAGTCAGACGTCCCGCGAGGCTTCTTTTTCATTTCCTTGATGTTCATTAATGGGGCATGATTGGTCCGATTATCACGAACAGTTCCCAAAGCGAAGAATCCATCGTTCGACAAACGAGTCATAAGTTTGTGACTTGTAAAGAAGTTGTCAAAGGTAACCGTGTGCTTGGCGCGGGCCTCCAGATGTGAAAGAAGTGATAGCACAACACGTTCTCCCAGTCCGAAACCTGGGTCCTCCTGTTCTGATGCACCAGCGTATGGAAGTAGTTGATACAAGTAGCCTTCTGACGAAGCCAAACACCAATACTTGTACCCGAAACGAATTGGTTTTCCCTTGATGAACATTTTGCACGAATGTCGGCCGTAGTAGGCAATCATTTGTTCATCAATGGAAAGGTTGTGAGAGAAAACACCAAATTGAAGAAATTTTTTGTTCAATAAGTCATTCAATGGTGCGACTTTTGCAAATTTGTTTTTCATATCCAATGCTGAGTTGTCACACACGTGAAAGAACTGTTTGATTCGTTTGAATCTGTCTCTTGAAATACATTCTTTTATTAGCGCGCATCCTAATGATTCCCGATTTGACCAATAACTATGTATTTGCGGCAATGTATGGTAACCGGTTATATACAACACGCCCAAAAACGTTTTCATTTCGCTAATTGATGTTATGAACGAAGGACAATTTTTGGTCGCAGCATATTGGTTGGTTGAAGTAACCAACAGGTTCAACACCTCCTCATCGATGAACATTTCCCAAAGCTGCACTGGATTCATGTCACCAATTTTCTCATACAACGCTTTGTGTGAAGTGGCCGAATCATCGAATGGAATCTTAGTGAATTGATAATTTTGCGACCGAGACCATTTTGGTTTCATGCCCTCTTCGATTCTGGGTCGCTTAGGTGGCTTACTTGATTTAAGCGTTGATTTGCGACCACGACCACTAGATGTCGAGGCCACCGGTGTATCATCTTCTTCTTCTTGTTCAAAATCGGGTTCATTTACGGTATCACCATCACAACCCGATGGCAAGTGCTCGTTGCTGTCATCGTAAACGCATTGAATTTCAAATTGCCCTGCAATCTCATGAGGCAGCTCCGGGTCATCGCGCAACAATTGAATATTGTCGTCCAATTCCTCATTGTCACTCAGAATATCGACGACATCGGGTGGCGTTATGATAATATCAACGGCGTCTGCGTGTTGGACAAAGTTATCCTCTCCATCACTATCTCCATCAGACCAACTATCTAAAATAGCTTGCAGCTCGATAGCAGTGAGAACTTTCTGCCGACGAATCATTCTGAATATTCTATAATATATTGAGACATATATTTATAATTTTACATAAAATATAACGAAAAAAGATCATGCGTACTTACAATTGTTTATAATCAGCCAATTTATTTCTTATCACTTTTTTCTTGTTTATTTTACCTTTTTATATCACTATAAGTATTTTTTTTACATGTGGGATGATGGTGCATAAAAAAACATTTGGCAAATGTCAATAATGCACAAAACGTCAAAACAATAGCCAATGGTGTTTTTTTTTTGGAGTTATTTCAAAGTTAATGTTAATGCCTGTCGGGTATTTAAATACCCATGTCATATCTAAGGTGTGTTCGCATGTAAAAAATTTTTTTTTTCTATCAACTTCTATGGCCTCCCAGGCACATATTTAAAAATTTCATCAAAATCGTACCAGCGGGTCTATGGGCAGGCATTAATGGGTTAAAAAGTCTCTGATTACGAATATGAAATATATTTTTCTATTGCAAGCTATTTTCGTATAATATTTTACTTTTCAATTTACAAACAGAGCGGCACATAGTGATCAGTGTCAAACCAAATATTCTACACAAAGTGCCTTGAAAAATTTTGGAAAGTTTTATAAAATAATTTTTTAGACTAAGATAAGATTCTTACAAAGCTACTAACTATAATTTATAATCCAATAATAGAGCAACATTTGGCAAGACGAAGCCCCGCCTTCTGGGCCCTTTTGGTCTTAAAAGGGTTTCATAGACTGTTTTATGAACAAAATGGTAGAATATTTGCTCTTCAGTATTTAGCAAGTACATACACCTAAACTCTTGTAAAACTGTTTAAGGGGAAACCCTCTTCTTCTTCTTCTTCTGGTTTATACCAAAATCTGACCAAATTTATAATACCATTTCATGTTCATGAAAACAAAGGGAAACTACGAAGAATTCCGTTTTGAATTATGACACCTTACTAGAATATATGCAATCGAAATCAAACCAATTGTAGCTCACAACTCATTTCTGGTCTGCATAATACATACATCTGTATTTTTCTTCACATCGCTGGCGAGGGAGTGGTTATGTTATGATAACATTTTATAAAGTACGCTCCGTCATGTTCAAAAATGCGGCAGCAATTGGGGAGAACTGTTTCAGTGCAATCAGAAAACTGAAACTAAAACTGAAAACGACAGAAAACAAGCAACTGAGCTAAATGCACGACAAAAAATATACAATGTTCATGCAATTCCCACATAAACTTTTGGCAATGGGTCATTACTTTACAAAACGTACGGATTTCAAAACAAAAACTTCTTTATAAGACACTAAATTATTTTTTTGTACCATGTTAACCGATTTTCATAATTCTTTTTTTTAAAGAAAAGGTAGTCCCATACTCATTTGGTTTTGATCCGATTATTGAATCATGAAGTAATTAACCATCATCTTAAATTTGAGTATGAGAATTGAGGTCGGTTTTGTTTTTTCTTAAAAATTACTTGTTTAATATATGTAAAAAAAATTCATAATTATTAATAATCTCTAAAGTGAAAAAATATTAAATGATTTCTGACAAGAATCTCACGCCATTTCGGGACGTGAATCAGGTCAAAAATTATTTAATATTTCCCTAACTATAAGAAACCCTACTCTATAGATAACAGTTTTTTTAGATAAGTTTGGAAAACTTCGTTAAATTACCTTAAAACATCCAAACTAAAAATGTTCATACCTCTGAAAAAATGTTTCGACTATATTCTGATATAGAAATTTTCTTATTTCGTGCACACAGCTTATGCCGAAGCTAAATCATGAAGTCAAGAATGGTGTACAATTTTTAAAATTATGACCCCAATGTACTGTCAAAGTAAGTACAGTATATTTTGCTTAGCTGCCCATCCTTCGTTGCACGAAAAATTTGTGCGCTTAACCGAAAAAAGCACTTAAGCGAATTTTCTTTGCTACTTCAATGAGGAAGGTATCCCAATCCCTATGAAACCAAATAAGGAGGAGCACCTACCACGTAGAAATTACTGAAAGCGAAATTTTTTGCAAATGATATCTAATTATCTATATACCTACATAAAATTATAGCCGTTTTCGTTGTTCTTCGAGATGAGAAAAATAAATAAAAGCTTGTCAAATTAGGGTAAGTGTAGGGCCAGTGCAGATAAACGTAATACTTTCTTTGGCAATTGATAATAGCTGCACAATTTTTAAGGCAGGTATCTCTAATGTGCAGGTATGTTGAATGCATCTATCGGAGCAGTTTCCATATAAATAAATAAAATAAAGCCACTGATGCGCATTTTGGGGCAGGTATCTCAAATGTGCACTTAAGCATAAAGGCAGCAAAGCAAAATATACTGTATTTGCTTTTACTTTCTGTCGAATCCAAAATGTCCTGCTTGCATCACTCTACCCCACCCCGTCTGTTCCACAGCGATAAATACTCAAAACAACAGGCGGCATGGTTTATGTACATAATGTTCGAATCAAGGTCACGGAATGCGCAGAGGGATCAGAAAGCGTATGAGCACTGCTGACAGGCGCAAGCACTGACATTTCATTCAATATGGTGTGTGTTAAAGTTGTTGTTGACTTTTGTGGCTAGAGAATAAATATAACAGTATCAATGGAGTCAAGCAAGTAAAACAAACAGTCAGATCAAACTAAAATTAAAGGTTTTGTCAAGGGAAGGAAACACTAGTGGAACTCAGCATGAGAGCTCGTAGCAGCCTACGAAGCCCGGAAGTCATAAAAGCATGACATGTGGCATTTGAATGTGTTTATTTTTAGCGCCGCATCTGCTGTCATAAAATCAAGAGTTTTTGATTCGCATAACACAGTTCGACAAATTTTGATTTTTTTACCACCGTCGCTTCTTGTAAATTTTTTGGTACTGAATCCAAATCTGGCCGCAGAGTTGCTCAAGCATGTCAGGATTTTGCGAAATTTGGGCAGAGAGAGCTTTTATTCTGCACGCGACTATACAAAATGTATATAAAGCTCATGGTGTAATAATAACAAGGTGTTGTCAGTAACTTAACCTCACTTTTTCGGCAGGTCACGCATTTTAAAGTACTAGAAAATGTACTAATTATTTACTACTTTTAATCCGTTGGTGCATACTATTTCAAATTAAATGTAGAAAAATGTATAATTACAGGCTTATAAGCCTGAATATATGTTTGTATCGGCTGCTCCACACAGCTTGGACATATATCGTAACTTTAAAAAAGTAAAAGCCGTAAAATAAGGCAATTTCCTATAAGACTGTAAATGACTTTTTAAATAGATTATAACACATAAATATAGATAATATAAGCGAATCCCTAATTGAACCATGCAGCCACTCTATTCTAGTGTATCAGTAGTTCATTTGGCTCAATATTATGACAATGCAGCAAGAGTTATTCAATATAAAAAATCGCCTTTCCATACGATTTTTGTGTACGTTTTTTCCATTGATAACCACGATAACTTTTATTTTTTTTACTNGGTGCTATTATTCCGTGAGTCGCAGGTCCAAGCAGTGATGCCAGATTGTGGGTAATTTCCCTATTTGAGGGATATTTTGCAACAAAAATTATTAAGAGGGAAAAAAGGGACATTTCCTTTAAAAAAGGGAATTTTCATGTAACATAATTATCCATACATAATTGTTCAGAATTCGACTAAGAATAATCGGAACTCTTACATAAATATAACTAATCGCCCATTAAGCACACTCGTACTGTGCTGTCAATCAATATTTTCATTCGTACTGTACTTTGGTATAATTTCTCGAGTACACATCACTAGGAAATTCATGCAAACATGTAATGGCATTTATATTCATAGNTTAAATGTAAAAAGCGGAACAAATTATCTAATGAAATGTTAAATAGTATATGTAAAATAAGAGTTGCTTTTGAATCAAAAGAAGTCAAGTGCTTTAACTTTAATGTTACCAAAAATCATATTCGCTTACACAATGCGAATAACTTGTACAATTGTCAATAAGTATTCAACAATAATAAAACATACGTAGCATATGTAAATATATGTATGTACCTATACGTACATATGAAAATTACATTTTTACTACCGACATATGTATATGTTTTGAGCTCTGTGGGAATTTCGTGGGATACATTTTTAAGATGTGGGAAATTGAGGGATTTTTTCCCGATTTTCGTGGGATTTTTGACAGAGAATGTCTGGCATCACTGGTTCTGAAAGCACCAAGTTCATAAAAAATCACGATACAACGAATTACTCAAATGGAGTATTTAAAATTTTATTTCACAACGAATAGTAGTATAAAAATTAAGATCGGCAGCACTGAAAATAAGCATGCCGATCTTGTCAAAATCACAACAAAACGTCGCTACTGACAACACTTTGTTATTATTCCACCATGTATAAAGCTTAAAAGAGCTTTGCCCGCAGGCAAGGCAGTTCCTATCAGTGCTGTTGATATATGAAAGTGTTCATACAGAAAGCTTTTTCAGAAGCGTTTTGGAGCTGAAAGTAACAGGCTAACCTAATATTCGCGGCTTGCGTTTTGGTACGCACGCCGTCGAATTTGTTTTTTTGCGTCACCCGAAATTGGCTTGCGTGCGTTTGCATTTGATTTCATTGAGCGAAACGTCAAATCAAAATGTCACGCAGAACAAAAATTGGAAATTGAGTTAGCTTCATACGCACGCCGTTCAATTTCGGTTGGTCCCATACAAGTTGTATGTGCATGAGAAATTTTTGGCAGTAAATTGGCGGCGTGCGTGAATATTAGGTTAGCCTGTAAAGCAGTTTTTGATTTTGAATTTTCTATTTAATTTTTCAGCTTCATGATGCTCCTTCAAACAAGATATCAAAATATCCAAATATAAACGAGTTCTGCAACTAATGCTTTGAATAAAATTTAGCAAATATTTCTGCTGCTTTTCATTGACAGTAAGTTTTGTGGTTCCTTTGCAGCCAAGTCTATCAGAAAGGGTCTGCTTTACTTCGTTCAGTGTGAACACCACCAGCTTCGCTTTGCTCCGCCTTGCTTCTCGCGGTGCCGCTCGGCTTTCTGTCTGAACGCACCCTTAAAGTAGCAAGGACTACAAAAGTATTTTTTAACGATATGTGCGGCAAGTGCAATTGAAAGCGACACTAAACATTAGTATGGGACCACCCCTGAAGTACAACCTTTCCGATGCAAAAAGAATTATCGAAATCGGTTAACTTATCCAAAGTTATGCGGTAACATACATAAAAAAAAAAACAAAAAAAGTATTCCAACAAACTG